GGAGAAGCCACTTTGATCTACTTCTAGAATAGAGTAGCTTACAAAGCACATGGAACATTAGGGCTGCACTTAAAGACACAGTCCAGTTCTCTGAAAACATAATTATTCTTATGTTTTCTGATTTATTTTATGACCATATCAGTATAATAAAACACACGGCTGCTAAGGTTTAACTGGCATTGCACTCCAAAAGCATATGTACTGAAGCCACTTTGATCTACTTCTAGAATAGAGTAGCTTACAAAGCACATGGAACATTAGGGCTGCACTTAAAGACACAGTCCAGTTCTCTGAAAACATAATTATTCTTATGTTTTCTGATTTATTTTATGACCATATCAGTATAATAAAACACACGGCTGCTAAGGTTTAACTGGCATTGCACTCCAAAAGCATATGTACTGTAACTAATGTTTCTGCATATTAAATATTATCTTGGGATGATCAAAAAATCAGGGAAATGTTGTAGTATCTTGCTTTCTGATTTATTTCTGCTATTTTGAAAATTTTACTCATTTGTCTCTTCTTAAGCTTCCTATTCCATAAAATATTTTCAAGAGTTTTTCATTGCATAGTTTCCTTAATCCTCCTATTTGTTCTTCTATGTTGTAGGATCTAAGGGAAGAATGCATAAAGCTGAAAACAAGAGTTTTTGATTTGGAACAACAAAATCGAATGTTGAATGTGCTTTTCCAACAAAGGGTCAAACCAGCTTCTGACCTCCTTCTCCAGGTAGGAAGAAACCTTTGCCTCTGGAATCTGCTAAATTCAAATGCAGTACAATTACATAATATTAATCTTCCTAATATAATATTAGCTAGCAAGAAGTGACAACTCATAGGCATAATGTATTAGTGGAAAGCCAGTTATCTATCATCTCATACCAGTTGAAATTGAAAACATACACTGCCAAACTCTGGCTGTGCATCATGTGCAGAAGTGGAGAGAGAAGTGTATCTGAGGAATAACTTACTTTTAGAGTTATCATGTGCCGAAAGTGTCCATCAACACATATTACTTTTAGAGGTGCCTTCTCAGGATGATAAATGGGATGATATGTGGGTTCATTATTCCTTCGGGGGGGAGGGGGGCAAAAGTTGTCATCATATATTTCCATGATATTTTCTATTAGAAGGAAATCAGTCTGTTTAGCTTTCTCCATGTTTGCTGTAGTGATTCAATGCATTTTGTAGGCCCAGAGCAATATTTTATTTACCTTTTCTCTGAGACAAGACAGTCAAGAACTCACAGGTAGAGTGACCTATCTCCCACTCTTTCTTATTAGTCTCAAAAAATCAGGAAGGCTGCAGATTTCTTTTGATTTGGCATTTCCCTTAATATAAAATTACATTTATCTTCCCTATTATTCTTTATTCCCCTTCCCATTAGAATTGTCTTCCGATATCAAAGAAAAGTACATGAGAATACAGAATTTGGCCTATGTAAGAGCATGAGTAATACTCTTATGAAATTTCCAGGTGTTCCGCATATGTAAATGATGGTGAAATTTGGCTCTTAGGATGGCATGTATCTTTTCAAAGGAACTGGCGTCAGACCTATGACAAACATTATTTGAAACTGTACTGCTCCAAGTGCTAGGCAGAGAATGGACCTGCATTGGTAGCAGAAGGGAATAGATGATCTAGTATGTCTTTATTTTTAGCTTGCGTGAATTTGTAACATTTATCATTGTTGCCTCTCCATGGTTTAGCAGGCAAGATCTTCATATCTGCAGAATTTTTCTGGCTTCACTTGCTTAGTCTTTATTGGCCAAGTGACAAGGGGCACCAGGTTCATTCCTAAACGCCAGGTCTTCGATCTGTCAGCAAAGTGTATGTGTGTTGTGCAACTGAAACAGGTCATCAAATATATTGAGCCCTGGGGAAAAATCAAAGGAAGAGTGTCAGTGTATTTCATACTATCAAGGACTTCTTATAAAGGTGCACATATTTTTTGCAGAAAAACAGAATAGTAAATTTTGAATTACCACAATTTAGTTTCAGAGAGTAGCCGTGTTAGTCTGTAACTGAACAAAACTTAAAAAAACAAATATTTCTGCAGCACCTTAGAGACTAACAAAAAAATATAGATATCATGAGCCTTTGTGGTCACAACCCACTTCTTCAGATGAATGGAGTAAGGGACCCAGAGTACAAATAAATAGCAGAGAAAGAGAGGGAAAGTGGAGGGAAAGAGAAGGAAAGAAAATAGGAAAAAATATTGTCAATTAAAGTGTCAGTTCTAAATGAGGCTAATAGAGTGGGCTGTAAGTACCCGGTGTTTAGCTATTTATATCATTAGGATGTGGAATGTAGCAGCCCATCCTGGTCACTTTGTTCAAACCTTGATTACAGGTGTCAAACTTGTAAATGAAACCCAAGTTCTGCAGCTTCTCTCTCCAGCTGGTTTTTGAAATTGCTTTGTAAGAGTATAGTCACTTTTAGATCCATTAGTGAGTGCCCAGGCAAGTTAAAATGTTCCTCAACAGGTTTCTGTGTGTTACCATTTCACATAACTGATTTGTGTCCATTAATCCTTTGTCGTAGGACTGTCCAGTTTGGCCAATATACATGGCAGAGGGGCATTGCTAGCACTTGATGGCATAGATCACATTAGTGGATGCGTAGTAGTATGAGCCTCTGATGTGGTGGCTTATGTGGTTAGGTCCTGTGATGATGTCATTTGTATAGATGTGTGGACAGAGTTGGTACCAGAGGTTAATTGCAGGGGTGGGTTCCTGAATGAGTATGAAAGAGGAGTTCTGGCTGGTTGCTGGAAATAATTTATTTCAGGTTCAGGGATTGTCTGTGGACGAGGATTGGCCTGTCCCACTAGGCTTCTGAGAGTGAAGAATCATTTTCTAGGATAGGTTGTAAATTGTTAATGATTTACAAGTTTGACACCTGTAATCAAGGTTTGAACAAAGACCTGATCTGGATGGGCTACTGCATTCCACACCCTAATGACATAAAAAGCTAAGAACCCGGGTACTTAAAGCCCATTCAATTAGCCCCATTTAGCACAGACACTCTAACTGACAAGGGTTTTTAGCACCGCACTACAGCCAGGGCTCCACTTCCTAGATTGGGTCCCGGGGTTACTCTGGCCCTTGCTGGGCCCCCGCTGTGATTGTTACTAGTGACGCTTGCTCCGGAGTCGCCACAGTGAGGTGCCCCTGCTTCCCTGTGCCTTCTCTTTGTTCTGGGTTGACTGTTGGTTGGCGGGGAAGGGGGGTTTGGTCCCTCCCGCTCTCCAAACCCCAGCCTAGGATGGGAGAACACTCGGACCCATGTCCTGACTGATGGGGTGCTGCCCGAAACTCACCAGCTCTCGGGCTTCCCAGGCCCGTCCTGGGCTACTTCCTTCCCTGCTGGCCCTCTGGGAGCGTCTCGCCCCCCTCCCCCAGCTCTTTCGGCTCACCCGACGTGTTACGCCACACTCTCGGTCCGTTGCTATCCTCTAGGTCTGGTCTTCACCCTAGGGAGGGAGGGAGGCGCCTGTCTCGCCCCTTTGGCATTGGCTCACTCTTTCTCCCCCTTTCCCCGGGCGTCCATCTGCTTTTTATAGTTCCGCCCCGCTCCCCCCCGGGTCTGCTCCTCTGGGCCATTTACATCCGGTGCAGGGTTAGCCCTTCAGGCCCTTTGTCCATCGTCGGCTGCTGCTCGACAGTCTCGCCCTTCCCGCTGATCAATTGTTCCATGCCAGCTGCCCAGCAGCTGAACGGGCCTCTGCAGCGGGGCTCTCTACCACCCAGCGCGCAAGTGCGGGGCCATGTCGCCCCATCACACCTTCCCATCCTCTCCCTTTCTCTGCTATGTATTTGTACCTTAGATCTCTTACTCCATTTACCTGAAGAAGTGGGTTGTGCCCATGAAACCATCTACACTTTTTGTTAGTCTCTAAGCCAGGGCTACTCAACACACGGTCTGTGGGCTGCATGTAGCCTGCGGCCTATTTGTTTGCAGCCCCTGTTGCAGTTTGAGTTTATGCGGGGCTCAACATGTGGCCCGTGGGTGGGAGCCAAAACAAAAAAGTAGTCAGTATAATGGTCTTCTGTTGATATGCATTTTAGTACTTAAATTCCTGGACTGTCATTGCTCATTAAAAGTGTTGTCACATGGGTGGAAATCGGGTAAATATTGCATTTTATTAATATCAGCAGAACTGACTTAAATGGGGCCCGCATGTTGTGTAGTCTTGCCTTAACCTTTGTATTCATGCCCATTAGTGTGAAAGAAGTTATTTGCATATATTTGCATATATATTTGCATGTTTATGCAACCACACTTAACCTGCGCCCCTCTGCATATGCTGTGAGTATCATTGTAGCCCCCAGGGCTGCCAACGCCCTGTTCTAACCTGCTTCAGAACTATTTGTTGTTTTTTAAGTTTTTCCATATTTTAGCTTATCTTCTAAATTAATTTGCCCAATTCATGATCTTAGACTTCACCATTTTAACATATTTCCAAATTATATAACTCAATTCTCTTAGATTAGGCAATTAATTATATTAATCCTGGAAGAGATTCTATTTTGATATGCACTTTTAAACCCAGATTCAAAAAAGCTCTTTAGAAAGTTATCCCTATTCAGCAACATATTCAAGTGTGTATTTAAATACATCCCTGAGTCATGATGCTTTCTTGAATTGGGGCCAAATACCGTAATTATTTAAATGGTCTGTGGCTTCAAAGTTCTGATTATTCCTGTCACAAATGCACATGTATAATGTACATACAGGCAACCAGGAAACCACAACTGTGGAGTTAACACGTACGAGCTTCCATGTGGAATCTCTGTACATTTAGCTGCACGTGGATGTTGTAAGGCAGTGGAGCCTGTTGATAAACTGTATAGTCAATTCCTTAACCACACTTTGGTTCATTATAAAATATACTCAATAGACTTAATAACCAATGCCAATCAGGTTTATAGCTATAAGCCAATAATAATTTAGTACAGGTCGGAAAAAGGCTTTATAGGATGCCAGTCTCTAGAAAGCCATCTCATGCAACATTCTCACATTTAATTTACATGTATGGTATCTCCCAGAGCTGCATATTTCAGCTGGTAATATTTATAGGATATTTTTATCACATACATATTTCTTGATACGTCACTAAATTCAACCCGTCACATTGTCCCAGTTCATTAACTTGTAGTTCTTTTCCTTTCTTTATCTTCGTTTTGGACACTAGCATTCCTAGATACTTTCTAGGTTTGCATCGGGGTAGAAAAATCATATCTTGTCATCTTCCTTTGGGATATTCTAGTACTGGTCTGTGGGAATAATTTCCTATCTCTTACTAGGTAAAATATACGTATCTCCTTTTCCTGGCAAGTCTCCTATCTATTTAAACCAAACCTTACTTCAGTTAGTGCATGGTGTAATGGGATTCCAGCATAAATGAATAGGAAGGGTAATAATAAAGGTATAGGTCAATTTAGGCTGCATAACTGCTATAGTATTTGTATTTAATGCTATATGCACTTAATGCATAGTTTATCTATCTATCTATCTATCTATCTATCTATCTATCTATCTATCTATCTATCTATCTACATAATTGTGCAAGAGGATAATATACCTATGACTAATATATATGTATACATGCTAACCTCATATATTAGTCAAGCCCCAAATCCTGTTTCCCCTCCAGCATGTATAATAATGTTAAATGAAAAAAGTTAAAAGTGTTTTTAATTTATAAGGGGAGTCACAGTCAGAGGC